CCTTTGGATACAAAAATAAATAAGCCTTGATTCCATTAAAGTCGTGAATTATATTGCATTTCTGCAGTATTTTAATAAAATATATAGTACAACGGTAACTCTGAATATGGAGATTTTTTAATAGTAACCAGACTTATTGCATATATTTAGAACAAGTGAGCCCTCAATGATGCTTGGCAAAAAATAACACCCAAGAGGCTTGATACAGATATTAACTAGTTTTTTTTTATTGAAACTGGTAGCTATTTTAATCTTACTGAATCTCCTTTTATATATAATTGCCCATATATTCACATAGAATAATAGTTTGGAAATGGAATCAATGCTTGTATATTTTTAGCAAATGAGCCTTGTATTGATCCACAATGACTCTTATTGCTATAAACAACATTGACATTGTTTCACATAGCAACAGAAAAGGAAACATCTGTATTTAAATTCCCCACTTATTTTTTATCCAGACACAAATGTTTCATTAACTGCTACCTTGATGCAAAAATTATTTCAGGTTTGGCTTAGTTACAGCCTTACATCATGCTGTCATGAAGTGGCAATCAATGTCTTTAACCAAATGTTTTACAACCTGAGGAAGTGAGGAACTTCTTAAATTAATTAATTATTCTATAATTTATACAGAATACAGATGCTACAAAAACACCTCGCATCTTAAGTTTATAGATAACTCCTTTAACAAAAGCACAAAGACCACAGGCTAAAACATGTTGACCATACTTGATGTGTAGTTAATTAAGTGACCTCTTAGCACATATAGGTTGAATAGGTCAAGTGAACTTGAAACGGAAGATCTAATGTACAGTACTAGCTGTATTGTTTACAAGCAAAAGCTGTCACTCCAAAGTCCTGGCAACAATATATCAATTTAACAAAACAACGACAACATGTGCGATGATTTCATTTAGCAAATTATTTTATGGTTATCATGGAATAAATACGAAACTTGTACTCCGTCGTTTCCACATACAAATATGCCAATATGAATATTGATAGATCGATAAAAAGTCATTCATAAATACCATGCCATTTTGTAAGTATATACCCAACGTCCCAATACTTGTTCATACGATTAATGTTATATCCTTCGATTTATATTGTTTGATTTCGTATTCCAAATCTGATAAACATTAATTTGATAATTCTCTCTTCGCGAAACAGGCATTAATGTGTCGGCAACATTGATGATCGCGGCAGCCAATCAAATAACGAATTCGATTCGATTTCCCCAGATTCATGCCACTACATAACCCGCGAACAGGCATACTCTGGGAACGAGATTGCTGCCTACGAGACAAGTAAAACTGCAAAAGGGGAAAATTTAGATTCTGTAACGTTCGGAAAGTCAAAATTGAAGTATTTATTTGTTAAAACACGTCTTCATGTCGTATTTTCAGTCCAAGATAGTACCCAATTTAACATTAGTGAAGGGGCTTCTTGCATGTGCTGCGAGTGTTGCTAGGGTTTGAACGAGACACTAATCTGACTGCATGTTCTAATGAAAAGGGCTTTGATGAGTTTTCTCCCTCTAAACAGCTCATTCTCCCGCCAAATTAAGTGTTTAAATAAGAATTCTCCCCATATATCAGTTGCTAAGGTTGGCAGGTCTGATATTGACAAAAACTAGAAGCAGTAGGAGGGGGTAGGATAGGTTAGTCTTAATTTTTTGTTTGCAATAACGTAATCTTGGGATTTCAGTTGACGGGCAGGCCGGTATAACAAAAAAACGGCTATTTTAATGTATTGATCGAGTTTAGAGACAGTTTAAGACTCAAAAGATGAATTACTGTTCAGTTTTTCTTGCTACAACCATTCTGATAGGAGAAAAATCGTCCACAAATTGTTTGATTGCCCGTCATGTGGATGAAAAGTCACGTGATTGCAAACACAGAATTAGACTAAGTATCCCTCTGTTAACATAAGTAGTCCAAAAAATTCTGAAGAAATTGAATGGAATCTATCATCACATGTAATCAGTAACCAAAGAGTATGTGGACCAGAATGACACCATTAAATTTTTGGCAGGCCTGATTTCAATGCAACATATAGCTTAATATTGTTCTAGAATCATATAAACTAGTTCAATTTTCAAATCACTGAGGATGGTTCTGAAATATAGCTCATGTCATACCCAATTATTTTACTGGAAAATATTAAAAGACAACAAACACCTCTAGTCGATATTTGAGAAATATCTTAATATACAAATTGTATTATTAATACAAACAGATTTTCGATGTTTTGAGCAAAGGCCCTTCTTTGGAAAAGACCCTCCATTGGAAAAGGCCCTTCATTGGGAAGCCCTTTGCCTGAAATGGCACAGTTCTGTTTGTATTTTTCAGGTAGTGAATCCAAGGCCTGCGAGAGGGGAGGGGGGCAAGTGGGGCAAAATACCCGGGGCCCGGATTCATCGTATCGTTTATCATCGCTTTATGTTTGTCCTAAAAGAAGTACGCCTACTTGCACACTATCTGCTGATCATCGTGATCGACGTAAAATAAACAATGTGAAATAAACAATTTTTCGGTTACATGCATGCATGCCACACGCGCCATCGGCACCAAAATTCTCCAATGATTTCTTGCAAGTAATTCGCTGGTGATTCCCTCATTTATTGCGATTAAAAATAGGGTGTGGCCATCAAGAGGGATGGGGGGTGTTCACCTATTTGTCCCAAGGCCTGTGGTTGCGCCTCTTGCCAACATTGGTCAAATCCCCAACATACCACTACTGTTAAGCTGTTTGATATCATTGCTACCTACACTGGTACTAACTGTTCAAGATTAGATGACTGCATAGCCAGATGACTGCATGGCCAGATGATTATAGACAGTACCTGTGAGTGACTGCATATAGCCACATGATTACATAGTCATGCTGACTGCACTGCCAGTTGATTGCGTAGCCAGATAACTGCATGCAAAGCCTGGCTGTATAGCTAGGTTGTTGAATGGTTTTGTAGATCATAAGATGGAAACTTGGAGTCTGAATTTTATACATTTATTAGACCTAACCAGGAGAAATTAAAAAATGCAACTTATTGAACTATAGGCCTTCTGGCAGAATTGAACCTGCGGCCCTGTCAGAAGACAGATATACTCACTTTTCAAAACTCTTGTGGTTATAGGTCTAACAATATTATTAAGAGAAGTTTTTTGTATGTCACATAACACACACTCAAAACTAATGCGTATAATATACCACTTGAGGTTATGACTAAATTCAAAATGTTTATTTTTCGACACGTTTTGCAATCGGCAAACAAACTTAAAAAGTATGTCTAGTGCTTTATCTGTAAAATAATGCTAAAATGAAGAGATTTTAGATGATACGCCAAAGAGAAAATGATGTCTGAAGTTCAGTAAGTTTTGCTTATATGACTGTAAATATGGCGTCAATTTTAAAGCATCATTGATAATTATATTTTAATTGACTATTTTTAACTACCTGTTTTATTTTATGGTTCTCAACCGGTAGATGCATTTAAAAAGGTAGCTAACTCTATAAACTAGAGAATAAAGCTAAAATAAATTAATAAAGTAATTTTGAGAGGAACGCCAAAAAGATTTTAGGTCTTGAACACTTTTCATTGCAAATACGGGACATTGAAAAAAATTGCCTCTTAAGCCCTGTTTACACTACGGTCAATTTTTGGTACGGCACGAATAAAATTGGTACCCGTACCACTTTTTTGGTTCTTGACCAAGAACCAAAAAGTGGTACAGTACCAAAAATTGAGCGTAGTGTAAACGGGGCTTAACTAAATAGGTAGTCCAAGAACCAAAAAATTGGTACGGGTACCAATTTTATCCGTGCCGTACCAAAAATTGAGCGTAGTGTAAACGGGGCTTTAATGTATAAATTCACACTCAAAATTTCCATCTACAAAACCCTTCAACAGTTAGTTCTATTGAGTGTAGATGCCCAGAATCCTGATATTTACCCATATAACCTCACATGTCATCGGCATCACCTTAGTATATATACAGCGTATAAAAACTTGCAGAACTTTAGAGCTCAACAACTGGACTCTGTAACTCAGTTGGCTGTCCAGAGTGCTGCGCTGGAATCGCTGGGCTGCAGGTTCGATTCCTGCACTCACTCCAAGTGGACAAGCCAAGCTGGCAAATAATAATTTTGAATATTTTTAGGGTTGACAGCCTCTCGATCGAAGGCGCACTGGCTACGAACATGGTGTCAGCATTGCAATTGCAAATCAGACTTCTGGATTGTACATATTCTCTGACAACACGATTACATGACTGCATAGTCAGATGACTACATAAGTGACCTCCGCTCGTACACAAATGACTGCTGTACATATAGCCAGATCACCACATATGATATAAACAACTGTACATAGCTAGATCACTGTGCAGACTACAGAGCCGTAGACAAAATGACTGTGTCACTGTCAGTGTAGCCAGATAGCTCGCTTCAGCAGACAGAAGCAATAGTAACAAGAACTATAAAACATGATATATTGTTCACTTACCAACAATTACGTTCATTCGTCGACCCAAAACTGGCGAAGGTTCAAATGATTCAAACCCGGTCTGAACAGGTGAACACAATCGCCTTCATACGGCATTTATCGCATAGGTTCATTTTTACGGTTGTTCCATATCAGAAATACAGATTTAACTTTTATAAGTCATCTCAAACACAGAAGTATGAAAATCTGACTTTCACTTCCGCGTTTTGATTATTATGATAAGGCCACAGAATAGGAAGTTATACCAGAAGCGTAACTCTAGTCGTTTCCCTTATTGTTTGACGTCCACGAAAATTTTTAACTCGCTCACATCAGGCCACGCCATCCTGGCTAGTACAGCCGGAAGTTTTTATCAGGATTTGGTAGGTACAAAGTGCCGGTTGTACTAGCCAGGATGGCGTGATTGATGACGAATCGCTTGTAAAAACGTGGACAAATATTTGCTCGAGTTACGCTTCTGGTATAACTTCCTATTCTGTGATAAGGCTATGTGATAAGGTTGGTGGGTTTAATATTGCGCATGCTCGAAACCAAATGTCGTTTAAAAAGTAGCCAAACAAGCCAAATCCTACAAGAAGAGGCCAAACAACTTCTTGTATAAAAGAAGCCAAATGCGGACTTCTGTGATATAAAGACAGAGTGTTGTAGTTTTGATATATTCATATATTCCACTTACATACAATACCATCGTTCATTTGGATTTGTGACGTGGTTATCAAAAGAGTTAGTGTATTGTATGTATGTTTTATATCATATAGATTGTATGTGTTTAGCCTGCAAGCAGGCTCTCTGGGGAAAGAGAGCCTGCAAGGATCCCTATGATGATTCGGTGCATGCGTCCAATATTTGGACGCAGTGCTCTGATTGGTTGATAACTGATTCATATGAAGTGATTGACAAGCTTCCATAAACTTGCACTTCCCGTTTGTAAAACCGAACAACGCAAAGCTTCGGAATTGCGGCAATGTAGAGATAAAAGTGTCATGTATTTTGATCATGGTTGACTTTTTACTGTAAATTAATATAGTATTCATATAAAGACGAATACTAAAAGCTTGCATGCTTTATTGTGTCCTTGGCTTGTCTGACTCCTAAGCCAAGAATAATTCTTGAGAAAGACTGCACAAATTCGCAAACCGAAACCTAGGGACAAGGCATTATATCGCTTCTCTTTTATGAAACAATATTGGGAATTCTGATAATATTCAGTGCATATTATGTGTATTAAGCTTGTTTTACAATGTTATACTGACTATTTAATATTTATAAGTATGCGGCGTTAAAATGTACAGTAATTTACTCGTCACTTTGTTTACAATAATTATCACATGCATGTTTACTGCAATTCCACTTTTTGTTGCAAAATTTGAACGTTACTATAAACATATTATTAAATTATGTCCAATGTCCATGGTATATCATATATGTCTATGTCTCACCAAAGCCATAAATTTCAGTAAGTTATATTATTACTATATATATATAGACTGTATACAGTGTATATTATATATTGCAGCACGAAGCAATTCCAAATAACTGAATTAGTTAGCGGGTAATATACAACTTTAAACTTACTGTGCCTACAGGAGAAACACATGCAGATTGTAATAAAAAGTACAACTTGATATATTACTCTGTAAAACCTCGAGCCGTTTTAACTTTTTTAGTATGCCACAGTGACGGTCTGTATACGAAACTATTAACGAATTTGAAACGATCGGTTTATGTTTACAATATCGTAGTGTATTCCGGTCTGCGCTGATTGGTTGTTATTAATTGACCTGTGACATCATAATTGAAGGGCGGCACGCAATCATCATAGGGATCCTTGCAGGCTCTCTTTCCCCAGAGAGCCTGCTCGCAGGCTAGTATGTGTTAAACTATGGTTAAACATGGGCGTACCGGAAGGAAAAATTTAGGGGGGCAGAAAGAAATTTGCCCGATTTTTCCGGATTTTGCCCGACAAGTACCAAAAAAGTTTTTTCCTGAATTTGTTTTGCCCCCCCCCCCCGTCGCCAAAAAAATTTCGGCCAGTGTACCATTTTAGGGGTCAAAAAAATTTTCCGGACATACCAAAATTTTCCGGAACCTAACAAAAATTTTGTTAACATCACAAAAGTCACCACAAAATTGACAGAATTTGTCAAATTTTTTTTTATTAAACTAAAATTGCCCGACTGTTCAGCGAATATTGCCCGACTGCCCATGTATGTGTAAACCAAATCATCAACGTAATTGGCTCGAGTCACGCTGTGTTATGTTCCTGAGCCTTCCTGATCTTGTAACTGTTTAAATATTGTTGGACGGCACAAGCTTAATAAAAAAATAAATAAAATATGCTGGTGGTTCTGCATTGACATCGTTTGCTCCTTCATTATCTTGTTCGATATCAACTTCATTATGGTCTTCATCTTCATCTTGTTCATTGTGGTCTAATTGTTCGTTTCAGTATCATTTTCCGCCTCGTGTATCTCCTGACCGTCCCTTTTACTACTTTGTGGAATCATGGATCCATTTCCGCGACTTTTGCTACCTGCTCGTCATAATCGGTCTCATTGGTATCATTCTGGGTGGGCTTTTCTTTAATACTGTACATGTTTACCAGCTTTTTAAAACAAATTCTGGCGAAATGTTCTGTTTACTTGCAAAAGTCACACTTTTTCCATCGGAGCTGGGCATTCTCCTCTCATTTTATGTCGCCGATTACCCCCAGCGCAAGCATTGCTCAGTTGTGTCTCTTCCTTCCGTTAGTGTGGTTGTGGGGCTTCGAGTTGTGGGGCCTCGAGTCAGGGCTTATCAGAGAAAATGGGGGGGGGGGCGGGGCAAATTGCCCCCTTTTCCCCCCCCCCCCCCCTCTGAAAGGCTCTGCCTCGAGTTTCAACGCGTTTTATATATTTCTATGTTTTATTCTCAATCAATAACGGTGCTAAATACAAATATATGGGAATCACACGGATAAATACCGATTACTGAATACTGGACAAAAACAGATACAAACAGTGGCGTGCTGGCAGGGGGGGGCTGGCAATTCTTGTGGGGCGCAGAAATGAAAACGGGGCGCCGATTCCGCCGAATTTTGAAAGTGGGTGGGAAAAAAACGCATTTGAAAAAATATAGTTACTTCCACCAAGAAAAATGTGTTTATATAGGCTTATGAACAGACTGAGCGCATAGGCGACAAAGTGATATATTAAATAACAGACTATTTTGTCTAACCAGCCAGTATTGCTACCTCACACGAAATCGTTCATATAGAAACATGATCAGTGATCACACGCAATGTCGCATTACCGGAATATTGGTCAGGTTTCGAAGCGATCATGGGAATTATGCTCTTTTTTGCTGGTATTATGCCCTTATATTATGCCTTTATTTGATGCTTCACGAATCACGAGAGCGGCGCAAATTAGATAGTTATGATAATGTAAGTTGTGTACGCAATTTAGTTGTTTGCGCCAGAAATATCATGACTCATTGAGCAATGTAAGTAATTAGATAATGCTGATACGCGCGCCGTTTTGGCAGCCAGGCAAGGAAACCTTAAAATGCATGATGTACCACTGACATCGACTCGCACCGATGTGCAGATGAACTGCTCAACTTTGCAGAATCTTTTCAAGAATTGAAGTGTTCAGTGATTTTTGATGAAGACAAAGAAGAAGAGAAAGATTCTGATTTAAACTCGGGTTCTGAATCTGAAACCGAAGACCACGAAGAAGAAACCGACAGTGAGTCAAGCGACGACGGAACTGCTGAAGAACCAAAGGACAAGGATAGACCATCATTTCTAGAAGCTCTGAGAATTTTGTTGAATTTTGGTGACGGACGTGTATTTGGTTGCTCCTCATTTCAAATATTTTGTAATATAATCCCACGTTATCTTGTTGTAATTATTATCAAACAAATGGGAGACCTTCAGCTGTGCTGGATGGGAGATTTTAAACAACTGAAGCAGTTTATAAACGAAAATATTAGGCCTGCTCTGGGGCGGTAAATCGCCTTAAATCGCTGCGATATAATGCGATTTTGGGCGATTTTGGGCGATTTTAGGCGATTTAAGGAAAAACTGGGACTTTCAAGCACTGCGATTTAGTGCGATTTTAGGCGATTTAAGAAAAAATTCTAAATTTTAGGGATTGCAATTTAGGTGTTTTCAAAGGAATTGAATTCTATATTTTGCTCCGGTTTCCTCCCACAGGGCAAAATTGGCAGGGTGGGTTTGGATAAACACAGTTAGGAAAGTAATATCATATCCTCATTGTTGTAAAGATAAATAGTCTAGGCTAACATAAGTAATCATAGTACTTGATGTAATCGATCACTGAAAAGCCCCAATGTGGGGACAGGGATGGATCCAGCATGGTCTGGTAGGGGGGGTGCTCCGCCAAAAAAAATTTTCGGAAAGCAACAACCTCCCCCCCCCATCGACAACTTTTTAGGGAAAAAATTTTTCCGGATGAGTACGTTGCAATTGCTTTCCAGTGACTTTACACATCCATCAACTTGCTTAACTACTGCAAAGTCTAGCTACAGTATTTCAATTGTAATTGTTGTTCACAGTTCACTTATCATCATGTTATTACTCAAATTACTGAATCTCATTTTG